GTGGCGCGTTAAACTGCTGGTGAGATATGCTTCTCACTACTAATTTAATTAACTCACTGAGACATTGTGTTTTTGGGAGTGTCTGGCCTAGCAATTATCTCCAACAATCACACAACCCAACGTGGTTTCCAAGCGCTCTTGCCTGTAAAAGGGATTTTATTTTCAGCCGTCATATCTGCAGCCCGTCAACGAGTCATTTGCGTTTTCATTATGACCTTTAGACTGTCATTGTACAGTGAACGACTCTCGGTAATACTGTACAACTGCTAGGTACTGAAAGCTGAAGATTTCTTTGAAAGAGCAACAGAAGCACTCACTCGTTGCACTTTTCTTTTTTCTTTTTTTTTTTTTTTGATGGTTCTACAGCCATAAAATCAAAATAGATCCAGGTGGCCTATAAATAATTCTGGTCTGAAGAGGGTTAATTTATTCACCTCATTAGATGGTGGTTCGTTTAAGCACCAGCTCTGCACCACTTCACCATCTTTAGTTATTTAGGTGAATTTCACTTTTAAAATAATCTGCGTCTGCACAATTTACATGTAAAAACCACATTCTTTTCCAGACTCAAATTTCTAGACATGTTTTCACCTAAATTTTTCAATCATTCAACATTTTAGAGCAAAGCGTTCGCTTTGCCATAAATCGATCGGTGCGAAGCAGGCCGCATCAGCACTTAATGGCATGCAGGAGGCAATGCAGTCGCTGCAATCAGGCAGCTAGAATAGAAACATGTCTGAAACATGAGGTTCAGCAAACCCTGAGGACCAGAGTTAACAAACACTGGACTGAAGTCAACAAGTTTTAAGAAGAAAAATCACTTTGGAATTCATGAATCAGAGTATGTCCAGCAAGAAAACCAAAACTGAAAACCTGATGGGTAAAATGTTTAAATGAAAATCAAAACCAAGAACAAAGAAGGCTATTTAATCAAGTAAATCTGTGCAAAACCACCAAATTATTAGATTTTGTACTCTTTAGAACATTGAAGATGATGGGGGGGGGGAAAAAAAGACTTAATAAAATTATATTTCCGTACTTTGTTTTTTTCTTTATAACTTCCCAGGACCTGGAAAATCGTCAAATATTTCCAGAATTCACAGAACCCTGTGGCAGACACTTTGCGTAGCTCTAAGTCACACAAACGTCAAGTAATATTTACAATTTGTTGCTCCTGCAACAATCTGGCGGAAATTCTTGAGACGCGTTTTGGGCAACAAATGACGTAGTAGTCCTGAAGATTGACTGAGTAGACACAATAAGTAACGTTTTTTGGGGAGTAAAAGGCTAAAATACTGCATAAAAGGTGATAAACTAATAACCTATGTATTTATTTTATTTATTGTGGCTCATAAATCAATCTCGTATACGTCCAAATCACTACTTAATATCAAAGCTATCGTACCATAGAGAGAGTGGTAAATAAAAGTGATAATAGTTAAAATTCATCAATACTTATAAAAAGTCAAAACATGCTAAAAGTATTTCAAACACCAAAGAATGTTACCACCAAGAGAAGACTTGTGCAAGACTTCCCAACACATTTTTCAGTGGTTTTCACAAATGATCTTTGAGTCCTTTATTTAGATCTAAACCAACCTCTGCAAACATGCAGCTTTCGTTATGCAACCCATAAATTAAGAATTTCTCATTAAATCAGGGATATCTGTGGATTGAGATTTCTAAAGGCCACTGATATTAGGCAACCTGTTTTTGAAGCGTGACATTTACAGGGTGCGTCTAAAATTTTGCATTTTTAGCAGTAAAGCCCGCGACTCTCCCATACGATCAAGACCAACTGATTCGCCTTGCTGAATAGCATCAGTGACAGAAGAACTAAACTGGCTTAATTATGAATGAAAGCAAGACACTCCGCATGAACCGTATCCTGGTGGCGATGCACTCCGAGTGAACCCGGGTCCGCGGCCTAAGGTAATGGGGCTCTGGGTTTTCTGTTGCTCCTGGGAGAGTGGCAGATGTGTGAGGTTGAAGGAGGAGAGAAACCATGACAGAGCAACCCACAGAGGCTAATGGAAGCCCCAGCCTTCCCGTTTCCTCGTGCATTAACAGCCACGGCGCTGCCATCTCTCCCCCAACCCTCGGCGACCTCACGGGAGCGCCAGCTGTTCCGGCCGTCTGCACCCGAACAAACAGACTCCACCCCTTCTCCCCCCTCGCCTCATGCTGTTGCTGCTTTTAACACCCGATTCGAAAATATCCCTAGTCCTCAAAAAGCCTTCCATGTAACCTTCTCCATGACTCAAAATAAATAAATAAATAATTTATTTTATTTTATTTTTTTTTTAAAAGCGCATCTCCTCGGTGCCACCGCTCGACTATATCCGAATGTCACAGGCAGGTTCTCGGCTTGAGGCAAATGGAAAGAGATGTAGGGGGGGGAAGCTGGTCCAGATAAAAGCCCAAAAGAACTGCAGGTACCAAACCACCTCCAGATGATCTTACCAGCTCCAGGTAAGTGATCTGGGATAACTTCAACTTTTAAGTGCCCCGTGACCCCGCCGTGAAAGGGAAAGCAAAAGGCGCGTACGCGGGAATGACCCAGCTCCACTTGGTTCACTTCCTCGGTACCGGCACAGAGATTGGAGATTGACACCTCTCCGTCAGACAGATGTGCCTTCCTTCAAGTCGTACCTCATACAGGACCCGACTCTGATCAATTTGCCTAATAGGTGCCTCGCTGTGGTGCTCCAGGTGAGAACTAGCTGGCAATGTCACAAATTAATCACTTGAGTTGCTGTAATTAATTACACCTCTGGTGGAGTCTGATAACGACTCTCCCAATCGCTTCCAAATTGGTGGCCTGCATCTGTGACATTTGGCTTTCTAGATAAAGACTATCGACAAAAGTAGCAAATAAAAGACGTACTCTGTGTGTATGTATATATGTCTGGTCATTCTAGTTCCATGTTGACCTTTACTGGTGTTAATGCATGACTAAATTAACGTTTTCTACACTTAAGAGACAATTAAATATTTTCCTGTGGAAAAAAAAAAATAAAAATACTGGTCAAATTGAAATGTTTGTGTATTCAAATGGAAACTCGTTGTTTGACCCTCATGTGAATTTCTTTTTTCAGTGAGAGGAGAAAAAAAACCAACTGCCCTCAAAAGGCTAGAAATATTTCTCCCCTCTCGTAGGAGTTCCACAGGGGAAACTCTCATGGGAGAAACGCTCCATCTAGTGGCGATTTATGGTACTACAGAATAGAAATATGAATTTTTTTTATATAGAAAACAGGCCTTTTATTATGCCATGTTTCAACTGCCAAGTAAATAGACTGTTGTTTTTTTTATCTTCCATCAACATTTCAGATTTTCCAGTGCAACATCTCTCTACACATTTCCTGCACTTGCTACTATTTCAGGTCAGTTTCACCAGGCTATTGCAATCTTCTGCGTCCAAATGAAAGCTGTATGGCGCAACACGCAAAACCCCAGCCCGCCCCTCATTTGTCCAGGTAACGGCCTCATTACTCTGCCCCCTGCCCGTCACCGGCCCGCCCTCCACCCTTAGGCACCCGCCGTTTACCACAGGTGGGCATGTAATTGCTCTGCGGCGCGGCCGAGTTGTGAGTGCTTAGGAGACGGCGGCCACGCTAATGAGGCTGCTCACTGTGTCGCTTCTCCGCAGACTAAATGTATGTGAAACGGGAAGAGCGACGGCATTCCGCGTGTCGGGTTCCCTTGTCGTCATGCGCAGGGCCTCACAAAAAGTATTCAAACGCCAGGATTGATTTCACATTTACTATTGCAAACCTCAGTGGGTTTTACTGGGATTTGGTTAGATAAGCTGCTATGAAATAGTGAAGATTGTGATGTGGTAGGATTTTTTTTTTCAGCTTCAAAAGTTTCATTTAAGTATATAAAATATGAAATTTTACTGTTTAGCTGCAATCACTCCAATGCTACTCTGTAAAATCAGTACAGACGTGCTGCCTTCAAGCCACATCTGACTGGTTAATTATTTATATATGTATTGTTGGTGGACACACTACACATCCCACAATGCACTGCAACAACTAGGAGGACAGGCGATGCAGTTTTTGCGTTCTTTAGCAATGCCTGACCAATTGCGAACATAGCTGGGCTGACTTGAACTTGCCTCTAAAAACTTGATTAACATGAATACAACATGACAGATTAGGACAAAAGCAATGTCTTTAGTGACACATGGTGGTGGCAGCATCATGATGAGGGAATGTTTACAAAAGCAAAGAGAAGCAGGAAGGTGTTCAGAGGAAGGAAGCTGGAGGTGAACGCAACTAAATTCAAATAAGTTTGATCGTTTCAATTCTGATTCATATTTTTTTGAAGAGTAATTTTGTTTACATTTTATTTATGCTTTTAGTTGTGTGGGGTTTTCATTTCGGTCTTATTTATTGTTTTCGATTGTTGTCGTTTTTCTTCCAGTTCCAGTATATTTGCAATATTATCAATGCATCACTGGGAAATGGTCTCAAAACAACAATTACCATTTATCTCATTAGGACATTTTATCGTTCAGCTAAATTTGTTATCGTGACGGGCCTAAGCGCAACAAGATGACGACTGAGCATTTTTGCTGTAAGAAGTAGAAACAATTCAGAATCTACATGAGAAAATCTGGTAGCCATCTGCTACGGCTTCAGGACTAGCCACTGAAGCCATAGCAAAAGCTGTTTATATAAGAAAATAATTTACAAAGGAGTTCCACACTTTTCAGACTTTTAAGAGGCAAAACATTTTGAAACTACCTTTTTTGCACTTTCAGTTCATCCAATAGGATTCAAACAAAGTAAAAAAATTTAGTTTAACGTGTCAAAAGAAATCAAAGTTCAAAAAGGATGAATTACGTGTCACCTCATGTTAAACAAAAAAAAAAATGCATATATTTTGACCTTCATGATGGATGTTATGTTACACTTCAAGGTACGACATTTGCAGCTCGCGACCCTTCATGCCGCTCACGCAGCGCGAGAAAGGAATGCATAAAGACTCACTGGCAGTGCAGTGTTTGAAAGCGGCTTCGCCTTGGGTGTTCGTCTTGGCCTGCTCGTCTCCTGCAGGATGCTGCTTTCGAGCTGGTAAAGCACCGGGAGCTGAGGTAGGCTGACCCACAGTCTGGAAGTCTGCAGGGGCACAGAGAGACCATCAAAAACTAAAAGTTCTTGGGTGTTTTGTGTGCAAATGTTGTGTGGTGCAAAAGTGGCAACGAAAAAAAAAAAAAGAAAGAATCCAACCTAAAAAATATGAACACTGGATTAGATATTGCTGAACAAGAAAACTCTAGATCTGTAAAAAAGGATCGATAAAGACACATTTGATAGTTCAGCTCCCCGTCAGGAAAAGACAAAACCAGAACTTCAGTGAAGAGAAATTATGTCCTTGAAAACTTTCTGGCTCGTTTAAAAGGGGGGGAAGATTTATTGGGTAAAAAAAAAAATAAAAAAAAAAAATATATATATATATATATATATATATATATATATATATATATATATATATATATATATATATCTCTCTGATGCAAACAAGTTTTTTAACCTAGCTTAAACTGAGCATGATGTAGTTCTGAGTTTATTGATAGTTTTATGTCAGAACATCGATGGGATCATCAAGAATTTATAACGGCTGCATTCCTCCTCGGGCAGCTATCTTACTCTGCAGAAACATTCGTTTTGAATCCTGTACTTTGGGCTTCATTAAGATGAAGTGAAACGTATTTGGTGTGACCTTTGAAAACAGCTTTATCGCCGACGCGGTTCCTGCTCAACGTGCAACGCTGCTTTCTACGGCTCAAGCCAAATGTCAACAGGCTCTTTTGGATATTTTTTGAGATTGAGTTTAAAAAGAAAAAACAGGCTTAGGGCAGTATTGTGAGCCTTTCTTAAGATGCTTTAGCTTTGAGGCATTTCTGGACGTATAACCTAAAATAGCTAAGTATATGTGACCACCAGTTAGGATGTGTTCGGTTGATTCAACTTGCCGACATGACAAACGACAAAGTGGGTAAAAGCCGTTATTGACCCGTCTTGCGAAAGCAATATATTCACATTTTATCACTTTACAACCATGAACTTCAATGTATTTTATTCAGATTTTAAGTGGTAGACGAACGCAAAGGAAAAGATAGGAGCAGTTTGATATTAGCCATGCAGGGGACACAGCAAATGTCTAAAATAAGATCAGAGTTGATGGAATTTGGAGTTTTTTTGATCCTGACCACATGATAGCCCACTGTAAAACATGGTGGTGGCGGCATCATGCTATGTGGACAGACTTCTTCAGCAGGGACAGGCAAGACGAAAACGTGGAGGAAAAAAAAAATTCTTGCAGAAGACTGGGATGAAGATTCACCTTCCATCAGCACAACAAACCTAAATATACAACGCAAGCTAGAATGTCGCAATTAAAATTAAAATATATTTATATGTAATAATGGGCTTGTCAAAGTTCCCGGACCTTCTCCATCCAGTCGAACTAAGTTTGAGCGAGTTTGCAAAGTGCCAGCAAACATTTTAATGGGCAAACGAGTACGGAAATACTGCAAGAAGACCAGGAAGAAGATTTTTTTTTGAAAAATCAATTCGTGAAAGTTTGTGTTTGCAACCTTACACGACGGGGGTGGGGGCGGGGGCGCTCAAGACATGCGAGTAATTCTGAAGGGCGCCGTGCTCACAAGAGCAAGCAAGAAAATGTAAACAGACACCGAGCTCGGCGTGAAGGAAAATGTCATTTCATCCGTCTCCAAAGGGGAATATTTGCATATGATTGCATGTCTTGGTGTTTAACATTTAGCGAGTTGCAGAAAAATAACTACTTAGCTGAAGTGTGTCAATTAACCGCATTATGCGACTGTTAGTGTACACGAATCTCATTTAGAGTTTGACCCCGCATCCGCGCGCTGCAGCTCGGCGAATTAACGAATCCAGAGCGTCGGGCAGATGGCCGGCGCAGAAGGCTAAAGAGCCTCAGGCGCCAACGCCGTCTCCACCACAAACTCTGCACTAAAAACCGACTTGCTCCATCAAGCACCAGTGGGCTGCCCTGCAGATTTCTATTGTGCGGGTTCGTATTCTCAGAGATATTCATTGAAAGGGATTTTCAGAAGAGAGAGCGAGCAAGCCGAAACCCACCGAGTCGACGTGAACTGGCTTGCACTCTGCTTGCAAGCGAGGGGGTGTGTTTTTTTTTCACCCCCAAAACATATTTCTTTATTTAATAAATAATAATAATAATGAATAAAAAATAAAAGCACAAAGAAGAAAAAAGTCAACGTCTTCCAGCGGAGGCAACATTATTACGATCAATTCTGTCCAGTCAGAACCGGCGGAGCTAAACAAATATTGACCGAGAGCAGTTTAACAAAGTATCTGACGAAACAGAGCTTTTTAATAAACTAACATCTATTGTTTTATTTTATTTTTTTTTATAGCAGTGCTTTCTCTTTTCCTGCGTAATTAAAGTTCTTACCCCTCTTTTTGCGCGCCTCTTTAATCTCTTCACACATTCGGTCGAACTCGGGATCCAGCTCGGCTGCAAAAATAGCATGGGCTGTGTCCTTTAGGCTGCACGCTCTGTGCCTGATCACCTTGTCTGAGGAGAAAAGGGACAGCGAGAAAAATGTTGCCGTTAGAGACACCGCATACATCCTACCAGCTGCGCTCAAAATAATAGCAGTCCAAAATCCCTACCAACAATGATCACTCTTCTGGGTAGAAATACTGTTTCTACATGGCAAGTGGCTACTGGGTAGGTGTAGAGTAATAATACAAAGTGTGTTGTTGACTCTGTGCAACTATAGCTTTAATTATATTGGAGTCCAAAGCAATACCAGAAAGGATTAGAAAATATAAAAAATTTTTGTAAAAACGTTGGTTGGCAACATTAAATATGCCATTTCTGATTAAAAAAAACCCTAAATATTCAAGCTTTACCCAGTAAGTATAGTAAGTATTGGAGTTAATTACATTTTTCCTCACTGCATGTAAAGCTGCACTATGTAACTTTTATTAAAAACCGTCACTATGTCCATCCAGACAGTAGCGCCAAAAAAAAAAAAATAAAGTTTCTCTGTTTTCTTTTCCCATCTGCAGAAATACACAGCTCAGTCAGAAACAACCAATATCAGCCAGTGGGAGGGTCTTGGCGCTATCAATCAAGCTTCTGTACATGCTGCTACATCTAGTTCCCCAGATCAGAGCCTGACGTTAATGCTCAGGCTAGTTAGCGTGGCCACCGATGACGACGGATAAACAGTTTTCCTGTAACGGCAAATTGTTTCTCTGCCATTAGCACATTGAGCAGCCCGTACGCGTGCCTGGCTGACAGCGCCAAGACCCTCCCACTGGCTCTAATCAGTCATTTCTGACTGCTTTTCTGCAGATGGCAATGGGAGCAGTAAGTGCAGATGGAGGAGCCTGATCTTTTCACAGTTTATCCGTCTCACACTATACTGTCACGACAAAGTGGCTGTTTAAAAGAAATGTGTATATGAAAAAAAAAACATGTATAAAAGTTACATACTGCAGCTTTTTTTTATTCATTTACTTTTACTTCGTTATTGGACGTTGAATAGAGTCTGTGGCCTCCTGAGTGCATTTGTGTGTATAGAAGTAAAAGCCGTGAAAGGGATTTTGACCTTTACTCGCTTTTTTCCCCAAAACGCACTACATCCATTTAAATACATTTGAAAGTAGCTTCATTTTCCTTCCTGCATCCCTCTTTCTTCAAGACCACAGCGGCATTTACTCCGCAGTTAGTCATGCATGTAAGGCAAATAATCAATTGCGATCTCGCCCATCTTTCTACTGTGTGTGTGAGAACGGAGCTTATAGTGTTTTCTCACAGCTTTAAAAAGAGGGTGAAGATTTATTTTCTTCTTTTAAAAAAAAAAAAAAAAAACTATATTAAACAGAAGCCCAGATATCACCACTTCACACAGATGAATACATCTTCACAAAGTCCAACGCAAACAATGAGAATCTTTTCAAAATATACACTCATTACCTCTAAATCAACTCCTGAGCTTCGCTTTCCTCTATACATCAGCAACCACATCATTAAATGCTCTTCCTTTGCTCGTGCATCGACAGAGCGGGGTAGGGGGATGGGGGGGGAATCAAGACGGAGGTGGAGACACAGGCTTAGGCGTAGCCGCAGTAAACAGGCAGTTTCTCATTACTGCAGGCGGTAGGAGAACAGTTCAGGCATAACGGGACAAAGGAGGTCACAATCTGCCAACTTCTGCAGTCTAATTGGAAGACAGTTGCTTAATTGCAATGTGGCTGAGCGCGTGCCCTTCTCCCACTGCCGGCACATGCGGGCGTGCGTGCGCTGCGCGCGAGTGCGTTTTTAAGGGCAAAAACGCCTGCCGGTGGAGGAGATGTCAGAGGCCAGGTGTGATGCCGGGAGCTCATCAGTACCCTTCTGAGCGCCAGCTAACCTCCACGTCTACAACAGACAAGGAGGCAGAGACAAACACCGCCGCCGCTAATGTGTTTCAGCACGCTAACAGGATTTTTCTTTTTTTTTTTTTTTTTTTTATTTATCACCGCTTCCCTCCAGCAGCCAAGCTGCATTTGTGACACCCAAGACTCATTGTGCAGAGAGCAAAGACGTCCCCTATTTTATTGTGGAGTACTCTTTTTTTTTTTTTTCCTCCAAGGTGGGGAAGTAAAAGGGAAAAAGTTTTTTTCAAACTTTCCACCAAGTTAGCGTGAAGTACGAGAAGAAGCAGAAAACCATGGTGGAATGATTTTTTTTTTTTTTTTTTTAACCAGCACTTTGAAAGCTGATGTCAAATCTGCCCCACACCCTAATTGTGGAGAATCTGGGCCTTATTCCCTGGACGTTGAGAAAACGAAGAAGCTTCATCGTTTTTTTTTATTTCTCCATTTATTTAAACATACCATTTGTATTTTCTCCCTTTACTGTATCGCTTATGCTCACACAAATGACCCAGGCTCTCTCCAGCATGAACAGATGATTCTCTTCTAAGATAAACAATACTGCGGAAAATTCACATAGGGGGAGATGTACGACCAATACAATGTAACATGCATACTGATTCAAGGAAATGGAGAAGGAATCTGTCTGTATTTATGTCAGCTGACCCCAGGAAGAATAGCTGATGCTAATGGGGATCTAAATGAACATAAACTCACGTTTTGTTAAAAAAACAAAAACAAAAAAAAAAAAAAACATAAAATGACCTTTCACCGACCAATCTAAAGTGGGAAACCTACAGCAATAGAGTTAGAGTGCTTTCCAATAAATTTGGATATCATCAAAAAAATATTTAATTCATAATTATCTAGACTCAGACTATTTTAACTCAACTTTGATGATTATGGATTAGAGCTGACATTGTTTTGTTTTAGAAAGGTACATCTATGAACCGTACTCTACGTGTACGTTTTGTTGCCGTCGAGTTATAAAGGAAGCCCAGATTGTTTTGGTTGTAGCTTTTAGTTCTCCTGCATTTCCATGTCAGGTGTCTCTCATCCTCTTCTCGACAACACTCCACAGATTCTGTTTCGCTTTTAGATCGGCAGCTTTGAGTAAATTGAATCGCGGCAGGGGGAAGATGGAATCGGACCCACAACTTTACGATCGTGAGACGATTCGTCCAACTGAGCAACAGTCGCCCCGGCGCCTCCCTGTTTGCATCTCCCACCATCGTTTCCTTACCATTAATTTGCTTGGGTACAGCACTCTGAGCAGCCAGCTTCTTTGGTAATTATAGACTCTTTCTGTCTGAACAGTGTCCCCAGTGATTGTGTGGGAAATTACATTTTCTGTATTGAAACTCTCATTTGAATCGTTCCTAAATGACATTCTAATTCAATGCGGCACAGCTCTATGTTGGGCTCCTGTATCCGGTAGTAACCAGCCTTACTGTCTGCGCGATTTACTAATGAATGTACGGCTGTTGGGTAATATAAACACTGTTCTAGATCATTTTAAACATGAGAACAGAACATAGAAATAATAAATCTGGTGCATTCAGGTGCATTATTGCAGACGACAAGACTATTTTATGCACCTGGGTTCCAACGCACGCTACAAAAGCCATTTTAAGCTCACTAAAAAAGATGCTCAGATGAGGACAAAGATGCAGTAAAAAAAGAAGAAAAAAAAGTCCAAGATATGCAATTAAAGTGTCAAGCAGCCGTCCTTAGCTACAAGGCTTGAATTACACTGTGGAAAAGCTATCAGCAGGGGGTTTACATGCTGGTCTTCATTTAAATTTTCAAAAAGGAAAAAGTAATTTTAGTGCCTGGGAGCCGTGGCCAAGAGTCGGCGCGGCCTGGTGGGATATTCTGATGGGATCGGTCTTAAACAAAAACAGGAGAATTTCACAGTATTGCATTTCTGACTTTCTAAAAAAAAAATAAAAAACATCTCTTTTTCTGTTTTAATAGGAAAACAGACCTTGTAAACAGTCAAAATCCATACTTATCCTAAAAATTAAAAAAAGAAAAAACAACAACAACTTAAAAATAAAATTGTGTGTGTGGTAAATTCTTAATGTACTAATCAAACACAATCCAACTGAATTTGCAGAAACACTATTTTATCTACTATTAAAGCCCACACTGGAATTATTCAGATAAACACCAATAAACAATGATTCACCACAGAAAAGAGAAAGATGGAGTGAGTGCTTCAACTTCTCTTTTTACAGTTCCACACTCCTGTGGTGTATCCTTCCTTGTGTGTTTTTCTGGTCACCAAAGATTCCCCAAACAGCCAACATTGCAGCTTTGCCATCATTCACAGCTGACCGACAACTCAACTAAACTGGATGTGGGAGGGGCTTAGAAACGCAGCCTTAATGATGTCTACTCAACTGAACCCCATCAATCGGAGTGATAACCACTTGAAAACCACCATATTTTGTTTCCAGATTACCGACTGCTGAAAGCACAGATAGAAACACGAGTTAAGTGTTTCACATCAGTCGATTTTTTACAATTACTGATGAGCTTTTATGCTTTAACTCTCTAAAATATTACCAAAGTGGTGGCGCAGTCTCTCCTGTTTTGAGTTAATTAGTTGATGCCACCAACCTTAGTTAGCTTAGTTAGTTGTGACAGCTTGAGCGACTAAAGCTTTTCGTCTGCCTAAATCCCCCAGAATGATGTGGTTCTGAATCAAAGTCCAGTGAAATTATTGATGATTATTATTAATAATTATTGAATTATATTCTGTCAGATGTATTACCTATTGATATTGGTCACATGTTTATTGCAATATATATCGTTATTCATTCATTCTCCAGCCCTACAACAGGACTTTGCAAAACTATCCCTATCCTTTGAACTGTGGTCTGTTATATAAGATTTTTAGTTTGAAAACAAAACTGTTGTAAACGGTATCATCTAAATGTGAAAAATTAAAGCAGCAACACTAAATCATATGACGAGACTAAAATTTAAAATAGCTTTATAATGAAATCTGTCAACATTATTAGACATAACTGCCTATACATTTCTGTATATAAATCGGATGTCTTTACGTCTTCAAACAGAGCTGAATACACGGCCTAAAACCGGCACCGAATACTAATGGAATCGTATGGTGTAGTGGTAAAAACGGTGACTGGTTTATGGAGGCTTTTAGTCCTTAATGGAATCCGTCCGGGAATCGTTTCCCGACCTGCGGACCCTGAACTCTCACTCTGCCCACTGAACACTAAATAAAGAACTAAAAACACTAAAAAGAAAAAAAAACAACATTAAGTAAAAGCCACCCACAACACAAGTTTACTGGAAGCGAGAGAGCGCGCTACCTTACCTCCAGGATCCTTGTCGGGATTGTACTCTAAAGCGTTGCTGCTGATGAGGTCAATGTCCACCAGGAAGTCCTTGGCCGTCAAGTACTGATGGGTGTCGATCTTGGTCATGACAGTGGATAGGTCCATGGGCTGCCTGATCACCTCCAAGTAGTCCGATACCTGACAAGCATAAGTACCGGGTCGTGTTGGCCAAAGACAGAAAAGCGCCATGATCTTTCTCGAGAACCGGTGCCAGTTTTACCTCCTCGATGTCGACTGGCTTGCTAAAAATGCTGAACCGTTTGTCGGTGGCCAGGCGCTTAGTCACGTCCCTGAGAAAGAGCCTGAGCTCCCGTAACGTGTTGTCTTCCTGTTCAGCTAGGCGGCGCTGTTCCTCCTCCGACAGGACCCGAGGGGCCGGCGTCTCTGCCACCGCTAGCACCTCTTCGCACCTCCCTGCAAAAACAGAGGAGAATAAATGACGCTAGACTTTCTCATCAACTTTTAAAACGTTAGATTTAACCAGGCTATAGCCAAAGGCATACGCAGGGTTTTCAAACCTTTTAGACTTACATTTTCTAAAAAATCCATAGTTAATTGGTTTAAATTGTAAATGCAAACATTCACATTTGAAACGGCGGGCAGGCTTTAAATACTGAACAAGAGAAAAAGGAGACTGTAGAAGGGACAGAGTAGCGGTGAGCCGACAGATGAAGGGCCGACAGATGAAGGGCCGACAGATGAAGGGCCGATAGAGGGCGATCCAAAGATGATGTGACAGACAGATGAATAGTTTGCATTTTAAAGTAAACCAGATTCTCAATCACTCCATAATTACAGTAAAAGTCCCTGTTCGACCCACTTTAGTCAAACTTTAGTTGGTTTCTCTAGAAAGTCCAGCTTGTTTGCGGAAATGTGAATGGGTAACTCAACTCTGGTGAGGACCAAAAATAAAATATAATAAAATAAACACTCAGGTTCGCCTAAAAACCCAGGTTTTGGTTTGGTTAAAGTGAACTCTGGTGAAGTTCGAATGCATATATAAATGCTACATGCCAAGTGAACCAGAGACCACTCTAAAAGCAGGATGCGGACAACAGTGCAGGGCATTTTGGGTAAATCAAAACAAATTTATGTGTCTAGTGGAAGAAACAGCTTGTTTTTTTTTTTTCTTTTCTTTTTTTTAAACCAAGGATAAAATCTGACGCCATTCCAGTTTTGTTTACATCTTGTGAAGAAGGAAGTTGCGCTCATGTCTTCTTCATTTCATTTACTTCAGTGTTTCAAAGGGTTTTGCTTTGTTTGACACAGTGCAGAGTGAAAGATGAAGATGTAACAAAACGCAACAAATATTGCAACTTTGGCTCCCGATCGAAACAAATCTAGCAAACCATCAGGTGTGAAAACACCCTAAATCTAACCTGAGGCGGGGGAAAAAAACTAATTTTAAGAGGATTTCAGACGAACTGAAGAAGAAAAAAAAAAAGCCACATGTACATTTTACAAACACTAATTTTGAAATTCACTGAGGAACATTTCCCAGCCAGTGGCACAGTGATAGAGAATTTTAAACACATATCCCCCCCCTTGCCCTCTCCTAAGATACGAACGCTTGCCCAAGGCGCCTGCTGGCATCGTTAGGACAAGTCTTTTGCCCCTACGGGCGTTTCACTCAGTAGCACCAGTCCTGATTCTAATTACGCCTAATCGCGACTGGGCCGGCTCTCAGCAATTCCACGCCATGCTTTTTTTTTTTTTTTTTTTAAATTCTGTTCTCCTCTCCTGTGGAGGTCAGACAGCTGCCTCAGTGAGGCAGGGACCCCTGCAGAGCACAGAGCAGGTAAGGCTGGGTAACCCTGCTTTGTGTCAGTGTGGAACTGGCAGAAGAAGACAGGCCACCATTTCCATTTGAAAGCCTAGTAGGACGGTGCTCTGTAAGTGAACTGGAACAGAGATGTGAGGGAGCAGTGGGATAACGGTGGAAGGTCACCGGAAAAGCCCGATTCTGATGCAAATGGGAAGCAGACATGTGTACTTCCTAGAGAAACAATAACCCGACAAATCAAGTTAAAGCAAAAAAAAAATATAAGACACATCAAGTCGAACAGCTTTCACTCTACAAACGGCCACAAATAAAACTGCAAAACATAAAACAGAAGTGGAAGTAAGGAGAAGGCCAACAGCGCCCTCTAGGACCGACAGCGAAGATCAGCTGCATCCGCCTCGCCTGGCATGAGAACGCGTCCATGAAAAACATCAAGTACCTGAGTTCCTGGGTCGGGGAGGAGGTCTGGCTGCCTGGACCAGCAGCAAATCAGAGAAAAAGCTCCTCCTCTCCTGATCTCCTGGAGGGCACAGCAGTACCACCTCCCCATAGGTCTTCTGAAATATACTTTTGACCTGTAATAAACACAGACAAACACAGAGTGTAACAGGCTTCTGGTACTGCATTAAATCGTAAATTAGTCATTTTTTTTTGTACGCAAACAGCAGTTCACTGGATTCTACGTATTTTAGCGTGAAAAGCGTTACAAGCCTAACAGAAACCACAATGCAAATAAAACTGGAGCAGAACAGGGTATGTACTCAGGTCGTGACCTCCGGATGCCAATTATCGGGTCGTTTCTGCGGCAGATTCTCCCTCTGTTCACTCACTGATCAGTGCTGTAACTCCGTACCAATAAGGTTGTGTCATGTTGACCTCAAAAATACATTTTCATGAATGACTTTTGACAAAAACATGAAACAGTTTAGCCCGTGTAAGAAATGCAACAGAAACATGCCTAATAAAAGCTAAAGATTCAAAAGGTTTCTGAAAAACACCCTTCCGTTCCTCTGAACGGCCAAAACATTTGCCGTGTAAACAGATTTGTTACTTGAATACAGAGAGACAGCAGCCTTTTCCAATTCTATTCCTATCAAACTCCAAGAGCAAAAAAAAAAAAAGGTTCATATTTCAAGTATAAGAAAAGCACAGCTGTATCAGTGCCAAATCGTGTAAATTATGCATAAGACATTCAAAAAGTGTTCTCCACACTGCAGGTAGGTATTTTACTCATGATAAAAGGCTGCAGGGGGCAGACAGAGGAAAGATAGCAGAAATGTGTGAATATATAAATGGATTTTTAAAAAGGGAGAGAGAGAGAGAGAGAGTGTTTAAGCTAAAAAAAATAAATTGTGATTTCCATCTGTTTTTAAAGGAAAACAGAGCAGAATCTCAAACCGTTGGAAACATGCATAGCTTATTAAAAAAAAGAAAGCTATGCATTAGAATTACTCCACATTTCACTGAGGCAAAATCCACCTCAGTGCTGGCAGACATTTTCATCACAAAAAGTAAATCTGATACATATTTTTTGGAATTGTATTCAAACTTTTTTCTCTTCAAATTATTTATGTTTTTGTCTTTTTTTTTTTTTTTTTTTGCAATGCTTAGAACTGCAAGAAGGGCGCATTTGTCTCTGTGGTGTTCCCAAGAACAAGCCGCGATGGTTCCCCAACACCAACATTTACCAACAACACTCCTAGAGAGCGTGAAACTGTAGAGCCATCCCAACTTGCATCGTGCGCCTCCAGCTGGGAGTTACGTTCGCCTTCAAAATATTTCAGAGCATTACGTTTTCACTTCGAAATCACCTTCTAAATGAAAAAGCAGAGGAAAGGGGACGGAAACAAAAGGAACCTTGATTTACACAAGGGGTCGTTTTCACACATCCCAGTTCAATTCGGTGATAAGAGCTCAAGGTAACGCCTCCCCAGAGGCTGCTGCTGCTGCTGACTAAGCACCGACTTTCTCCCCCCCCACCCCATCTGTTATTCTCATCGATCCTCACCGGGATTCGTGGCATGTTTGTTCTCACCATCCTGCTGTTTGTCTCTTTTTTTTTTTTTTTTCCTTTTTCCCTCTGGCGGTAAGGTAGAATAGGTAAAATAGCAGCAGAGGATTAAAAAAAAATAAAAGAGAGAGACAGCAAGAGGAATCAGAGACGGTTGTAGTGTGTGCAGCACACAGCGGGCAGGTGTTTTCATCATCATAGACAGCTGCAGGGGTGACAGCAACAGAATCATGCAAAGCAAAGACATGTTGATGGATGAATGCTTAAACAAAACAAAAAAAAAAAAAAGAAAAGAAAAAGATACCAAGGATTGAGATGAATTTGCAAAGAAAGTTGCTAAGTTGGTGCAGAAGTAGTTTTTGCTTTTTGTTTTTTTTTTTCGTTTTTTTCATTCCTCTGGCACAATCAATTTTACTGGAGGGTATTCGTTTAAAATGCTGCTGAAGCATGAATGTGAATTGGTTTGTCGCTGTCCCTCTGGATGGCTCCAGACTAACTTTTTGTTCCTTATGCGTTTGACTTTTTTTTTTTTTTTTTTTTTTCCGTTATGCACTTCACTGTCTCCGATTGGTTTTTGCGCCACAATACGGGCCTAATGCGCGTCTGTCGTTGAACCAATGATGGACTTTGAGTGTGAGAGTGTTTGGTTTGCTTTTTGGGTTTTTTTTCCCCCTCAAATGATTGGTCACTCAGTTTTTGTTTTTTTTTAGTCCCACCATTGAGAAATTAGTTCACGTGCGACCCAATTTATTGCCCAAAAACTGATCTACATACTAAAGAAGTAAAATACCAGCAAAGTGTATAAAAAATTCTCAATCTGCAGGTTTTCAATAGATTTTACATATGGAAACTGAGATTGCTAATGTAAAAGGGTTTCTTAGTATCTGTGCTCATTTGTTCACATGTTTTGCTGCTGAGAGACCAACCCAGGGACGATTCATTTTAATGTTAATTTCACTAGTAAATTTTAAGAGTGGTAGATTCCATGCATCATTTACAGTTTTTTTTTTTTTTTTTTTGGAAGAAAATTTTGCCTTTACATCACAGATCCTCTTTCGTCCATGACTAAGTATTAGTCATGTGGCTTCAGAATCTCAGAAAACACCCGAGTTGTTTTTTTTTTTTCTTACAAATTTCTGAAGAATATCAGAGAATATCAGAATTTTGATATAAATATTTTTTATCACAGGAAAAAAAAAACATTTTTCGGCAGTTTTTATATATATATATATAAATATGTGACATTGATCTAACGGTATGCAGAGGTTTTTGGAGAAATGCTCTGCTGTTAAGTCAGTTTTTATCTGCACTGTAGATGTTGTTGCTATAAAAATTAATTTGTCAGAGTTTTTTTGTTGTTTTTCTTTTGTATTTTTTATTTTTATTTTTTAGATAATTTAACAATACAATATAAACAATTGTAAACATAGAAATAAGGCAATGAGAACGACATCTCTTCTCGAGTTGCAGCAAGAGGCGAAGACTTCAGCGAAGCTATCGCACAGTCCAGCACTTTCTGTACTGCCGTGTGCAAAACGCAAGTGAGCCAGGCACTGACAGCTGACAGTGAGTGAAGAGAAAGCTACTTGTTTGAAACCAAAACACAGTGTGCTTGTTAGGGGTTGGATTTCATGCCCCCTGGGCCCAACAATTCCTTCATGACCATAATCAATCAGACTTCTCTGTACGCCTTGCAGAGAGATGCTGCAACAGTTTGCGCTTTGCAGAAAGTGCGTGGACCTGGAGTGTTCTCCATCACTGCCTTCTCAAAACTTTTTTTCCTCCCCTCCCCTGTACCTCTCTCATTTGATTTTATTTGCCTTTCAGACCATATATTGGCTTAATGTTATTGAGTAGTATGCGTCCCCAACACTGACTCTGCAGAGCTCTGAAAATGTGAAGAGAGTCGGAACCAAAAAACATAAAAATAAATAAAAACCGATCCCATGGAGGCATGTTTTTGGCAGAAAAAATTGAGACCAGAAACACAGGAGGGATTATATGTTCTAACTTAAAAATAGATGAAAATTCAGAAGAAGAAAAAAAATAGTGGGAGAAAGTTTCTAGACTGAGTAAGATGCATTTCTCTAGCCTTCTTCTGAGACCAAGCCACAAAACAAAAAACAAAAAAAACAACAAAAAAAAAAAAACAAAGCTACAAGCTGAAGAAAAAAAATTAATTCCAGTTGTTCTGATTTCTGATAACTCTACAAAACATTGTAGCATCTAAATGTTTAAATGTATTCTGAATGAAGCGGTCAGCTATTTTTGTTTTTACCGAATGTGAAAAAAAAAAAAAAAAAAAAAAAAAAAGGGCAGCGGAGAGAGTGAAAACAAAAAATCATCCTGCATTTTAACCAAGATGTCTCATTGGACAAACTGTATTTTCAATGACACCCCGAGACATAGCCGCAGTTTATTCCTGCTGCGAGTGAGAGAGACTTTCAGCAGATAACAGGAAGGCTGGCTGCAGAGCAGCAAATGTGTTATGTTTTATTCATTTGAGCCTTCAACCTCTCCCTGTCAGGGAACATGCTGGATTTGGAAATGACGGCTGTCTTTTGGGAAATCTCCTCGGTAAGGATCTAGATTCTCCAGGGAGACAACACAAGAAAATGCTGTTTTCCTAAAGCTGGTTGATATTATAAGAAGCCAACAACGGCCTGAAATGTCAACTCCTTGTTTAGTCTTTGTTTTAAAACTGCAAAATGCTTATTTAGGACAACTTCGCTCGAAGAAATACGGTGTGATGCTTCCCCCTCGCATCTAATTTAAATAGTTAACGCTTATGGCAGAAAGACATGAAAACATTTATTTCCTTTTCCATCTCATTCAATTAAACTTCTTAAAGGAGTTGAATTCTGAGATGTAAATCTCCATGTTACATTCTACTCTTTTTAAAGTGACGCAACAAAAACTAGTTTTCTTCTTCTATTGCATTGTAGCTTTGATTTTCATGTAGAGATAAACTGATCCGATATTATTATCTGTATCGGCCCCAATGATGAAAAAAATTCTAGATCGGATACTAGTGACAATGTGCCGAATCCGTAAGGACAGATCTATTCAGTTTAATTCTATGCTTTGTAATATCATGCTTTATTATCTATGTTACATTTAGAATTCCTAATTGTTCTTCCTGAACCACTTGAAGGGTTTGTTGACGTTTATTTTTCACATAACTGATCAAGGTAGTCAACCTGCTGTTTCTGTCAGCCTCGGTTTCTTTATTATTTATTTCCCATTGGCTGTTATGCTCCTAATTACACTGACTGAATAAATTAAAGTTGTTTTAACATGTCTGACCAAGCTTGAGAAGCTATTGGTGTATTTCAGTGAGCTGTACTGGTGCAGACTTATTAAATACATTTGTAATTCAGTACATTTATATATGGGTTTTTAAAAAGAAAAAAACCTTTTAAGTCAATTCAGCACCGTTTCTTTGTATTGGATCGATACAGGCTGATACTAAATCTCAAATGTCGGTATCGGAAGTGAAAAAAATGAATCTGCACATCCCTCGTTTCCTGCACCTTCTTAAGGGAAATAAGAAAGAAAAGAGGCAAATCCACCCGACAGCTATTTACCTTCTACAAGCTTTTGGTCATGTATGACTTACAAAACAAAAACACCTAAAAGTGCTAAAAATACAACACCGTGTCTCTCCAGCTACAGCTACCGCATCACGATTCAGGTTTTTTCATTTTATTGTGCTGCAACAGAAACGAAGCTCCGTCTGAGCAAAATGGACAGCTGCTCAGGGAAGCAGGGCCGCCACAGAGCTGGACTCCGGCCTGTAGAGTCCGTTTGGTTCTGGAGGGACGCTGCCCGCTTCCCTGCTGCGGTTTGGAGCTGAGGAAGCAGCTGTCACTGTGTTCTCGATGCTGGAGAGTAAAATGACCAAAATGGCCATTTTGGTTCAAAACATAATCCACCGAGGCGTGTCGACAAGAGAAACACGTCCACAGTGGAACTGCTGCAATCCTCGATTTATTGGGTTCAAAAAAAAAGGAAAATTGCTGAAAAGCAAAATTCAGAAAGTTCTGCAGCCCTCAAATCAATGATTTCAAGTATTAAATATTCCAGTTCTAGGCTAAAAAAAACAAAAAAACAAAACAGGTTGTAGAAACACTTGCATCATAGCACTGCTCATCTAACCTTTAAAAACTCCAGACCAAATGTTGATTTTCACTAAACAGCCTGAAGTTTAATTGAGAATTTTAAATCAGCATCAGTCGCTGATTATATACAAACACTATTATTTTAATTATAATAAATTACTTATGCTTGGCTGGGTATGGCTGCAAAATGACTGAGAAGAATTATTGTGCCAACGTGAGAGCCAGCAGAAAAACAACCAGGCTGACGAATTATGAGAATAAAATCATAAAATTACAATAATAAAGTCACAATATTTTGAGAATAAAGTCCTAACTTTATAGCTATTCTCTTAGTGCTACGACTTTAATCTTGTATTATTTTGACTTTGTTTTTGTAATATTAAAACTTTCGTCTTGTAATTCTATGACTTTATGCTTATAATTTCATTTTTAAAATGATTTTCTTAGTGTGGCCCTAAAACTCCATCGTATGTTCAAACTTCCAAGAATCCAAAGAAGAAACATTATTTTCTACATAAGGCTTAGACAAACCATCCTCAAATAAATGCTTTCAGATCAAGTTTTAGATTTGATTTGTCTGCGTCTATAAAACCAAAAATCTTATTGAAATATTTCAATTATAAGAAAAAAAAATGGGCATTGCGAAAAGTACAAAAGAAGCATAAAAAGAGCCATAAAAAATTTAAAAAAAAGTTAAAACTAGAACTGAGAGGTTAATGAGGGGAACCCCCTCAGTGCTTATCGGTCAAAAACATAAAGAATCCTCCCGACTGCCTAAGTGAGCTTGGACAAGGATTCGCCAAAACACCAGGCGCACAGGAACGCACCGCGACAAAAACAGATGGGAGGCCTCCAGCCTGCCTGAGCTTTTCTATACAGAGAAGGTGGCTTAGGGTCAAGACTTCAGGCTGCCAAACCTCAGACCCAATTAAACCCCTTCTGTTGCCTGACCAGAGATGACCTTGTTGTGCCTTTATCTGAAATTTTAAACCTTTTTCTTGCTTTTCCAACTTTTTGGATTTGGCCAAATAATTATGTACGTTCAAAACTGAGTTGATTTTTAGAATAAAAACATATATCCATACGTAAACATGTACAAAATTAACACGTTTAGTGTGTCAAATATAAAACAGATCAATATAAATGCAAACTAATTTTGGCAAAAAAAAAAAAAACTGTCTGAAATCAGCTACCAATTGTAAATAAAAATACTTCAATACACAAACGAAACAAACCGCTGTGGTTCAACATGAGTTTTGCAAGATGAGAAAAGTGTGTTTTTTCATAACTCAAACATTACGTGCAAAATTAAGAATCTTGTTTCAATTATTAAAGGAAATCCTCAACACCAAAATATGTGTCACATCAAGAACCCCGCAACAAAGCACGATCAGAACCCTTTATACATTTCCATTTCCTCCAACCTCCACCGAAGTAATAACTGTCGGCGTTTTCGATTTCCTGTCGACTTCTTGTTGAGTTCGTGTTCCTACCTCCTCTGACAGCTTGGAGTACTGAGTCTCGGCGGTTGCGAGGATGAGGACCGGGCTGAAGGAGGGCACATCGTTCAGCAGGGTGAGGAAGGTGCTCTTCACAGTGTCGCTCACCGTGTCCCACCACTCTGAGATATGAGGCATGTACACCACGCTGGGAACACTTCGACGGGCCTCACGGAAAACCTACAGAGAAACAAAGGCGGCTCAAAACAGAGAAACAAAGCTGAAGTCTGTTGAGGCTAAATGTCAACAAACTGAACAAAAAAAAAAAAAAAACCCCTTTTCCACGGGGGGATTTTTTTTTTTTTTTTTCCCGAGCCA